CCCCCCCTCTTTTTTATAAGTTCTTATACAAAAGTATCTGGATGTTCAGCCCTGGCAGTTTTGAGCGCAGGGCCACTTGTTAGTTCCTTATTATGTGTGGGCTAACAGGGAAGGAAATGCGAAAGGGTAAGATGGCAGGAAAGCCATAGCATCTTGCTGGTGATAAGGCAGCTCAAAAATAGGCTGTGACAGCTGAACTAATGATGTCACCGATGCTGATACAAGTGGGCTGCTTCTCATTATGACTTCTCTGCCAGACATGGTGACATTCACCAGCCAGTGCGTGTCTCAAGTAGATGATACAGAGAACAAATCATAGGAAATGTGGCACAGGAAGCATACGATGGAACATTTGCCCAGTTTTTTGTTTTGTTTTATTTCACAAGAGCACAATACTTCTGTAGATGATAAAGGTGTATAGGTCAAGCTTAGCCTTGCTGGACCACTTTATCAAACCAGGGTCATAGGGCTCTTGTTGTGACATTTAGAGATAAGCATTTTGGAGGTAAATGAGATGGTGCAGTCTATGAGGAGATCAGAAGGTGCTTTTGTAGCTTCAGACCTCAAGTAAATTACAAATACAGTGTTGGTAGCCTGGCCATTGATATGTCCTGTGTATAGTACATATAGTATATAGTGTGTATTAAAATAATGATAGATAAATAATGTAGTTTAGTTGTCAGAAAGATGCATTTGTTGCCCAGGTTTTTACCATAGATTTATTCTTGGTTTATTTTCCATAGAGTTATTTTTAATGAGAATGGAAAGGGAGTTAAAAATTATTTGGATTCAGATTTCATTGTGTAGCTACTCAATCAAAATATAAACTTGTTGTTTATACTCTTGTAAAGGGAAAATGCTATATTAGCTTTCAGCTATCAGATTTGATTCAGATAATGATACAGCATCCTAATTCATAGTCTCTACTTCAGATATTGAGTTTGTCTGTGATAGAGCCTTTCTCAGAAAACTGCTCTATCCTGATAAATCATCCAGAGAGAGAGAGAGAGAAAACACGCGCATTTAGTTGACATGGAAAAATAAGCTAATAATGTGATTGTATAGGAGTACTCAAATATTTCAATGCATTTGTGTTGATAAATTATCATTTGTTTTAATGTTTAGTTGCATGTACCCTTTTTAGCTGTTCTGTTTGATGGCAGTGATTTGCTAGCTGTGTGCGAGTGCTGGAGTTGGTTGCTTTTCCTGTTTTGATCACAGCCCAGGCAGTAAAGGCCACTACACTTTAAACAGATAATAAATCATATGGTGTCCTTGCTAACCAACATTACAGATTCCCCTGGGTCCGAACTGAATGTCCTTCTTTCTGTTCAATTTAGTGCAAAGAAGGTAAAATTCTATTTGATGTTAGTGTAATATTTTGAGATGAAATCTGATGAAGAATTTTTCCAAACGGCCAAAAATAAATCTTACCAGGAGAGTTTTTGCTGGTGACTCGAGGCATATGTATTCCCGACTTCTGTCTGTTTATTTTTACTTCCCTTTTGTTGTAAGCTATCAAAAGTTTTGATGCTGTTCAGCCAAGGAAGGAATTATAAAAGTAGCCTATAAACTCTTCCCAAGGGGGGGAGGAAGAGAGGGAAGAAAGCAAAAAATGGTTTGAAGAAAGTGTTTATACCTTTTGTTATGGTGTGTGCCATTTATCCACTTACCTGCATGGCATATTTGGTTGCATTTAATATACTCTGGTGAATTCCTTGCAGTTACTTTTCTTAAACTGTTTGCTCTGTGAAGATAATGGAAGTGGGATGCTCTGCATCGTTCAGCTGCAACAGATTGCAAGTTACTGCTAAGATTTCAAGTTGTCAAAGTATTTTACCCTGTTAAACTGTGTGCTCGAATGATCAGCATGTCCCAGGATTGCCCCAGGTTGATTACAGTGGTATAACCAATTGCTTGCCAGTGGGACTGAATCACTTTAAAGCAGCATTCTCGCTCTATCATGAAATGTTTTAAAAACAGTTTTGCCAACAACAAAAGCTGCTGTCTAAATCAAGCACCACACGTTTTCCCCTTATGGCACAAATCTTGCGTGGTAACGTTTTGATTGCTGGGATGAATGTTTAGCATGCTGAATTTGCTAAATGAAGGATGTATGGGAATCAGATATGGTACTTGAAAGCCTTTCTCCCTTTTTGACAGCTTGACCAACTGTTTTCTTGGCTTTGTGATAGCCCTTCCATTCCTCCTCCCCCCCCAGCTTCTCTCCTTCCTTCTCTCTGCTATAAACAACCATAACAACATCTCTCATTATTAAAGATGAATAGTCCTGACATAGTTTATATCATGAAATAAAAAGTTCTGCAAATCCTGTCTTTCAAAAGTTAGTACGTGTCAGATGATGCAGTTCAATAGCAAGCTCTTGGCTAGAGCTCGCCACGCACAGAGGGGAGCAGGGCTGATGTTCTCCTGCCTCAGAGCTGGCTGTGCTTTATTTCACTGAAAGCCATTGCGGGGCTTTGTCATCCACCGATGCACCCAGGGTGATTTCTGATGCTTACACCGTGTGCTCAGGCAGTGGGAATAATGCCCTGCTCTTGAGAGTCGTGCGAGCAAGAGACTTGGGGCTGGTCTGGAATTAGATCTCCTGTATTTCTTGCAGTTTTGACATCAGTCTGCTGGCTGGCGCCAAACTAGTCAGTAAATTCAGAGGCAATACCAGGGACAGAAGCCCTAAACCCGATGATTTCCTACCAGCTGAGATTTTATTTCAAGAAATGTTGCTTTGCTTGGATGGTATAATTTTTCCTGATTTTATAAAGGGTGCCAGCATTCTAACTGTAAATCTAATGTCTCTGTTTGTAATTTTCACTGTGTGTTACAACCTACCATACCGGATTTTTGGCCCTGAATGTGGGCATTTCTTTTGCCATTGATGGTTATTGTTACTTTCTTCAATGTCATCATCATCATCAGGTTACGAAGAAGAGGTTATAAAATGGGCACAGCTCTCTGGTCTCCTGGAGTAGTCAGGAAGTGGGGAAAAGCTGCTGAACCTGACAGTTTGCTTTGGTGGAGGCGTCATTTGTAGAAGTTCATAATACACAAGGACAATACCTAACCTTTTTCTGTCCTAAAACAGACTGCAGGAAAAAAATCAGGTAACGTTTAGGTGACTTAACTTGGTCTAAGAACAGAACTGTTTGGTTTGGTGTTGAAGAGGGAGCTTATAAAGCTGCAACATTATCCTTAACTTCATAGGTATTAGCTATATGTTAGTGCAGTAACTGTGTAAGAAGTGAAATTTGGCTGATCATTTGTCTTTGATAGCTTCATTTGTGTTTGCCCCCCTAAGCCATTTCTCAGGGAATGGAAGAACTCCTGATATTCCAACTCTCTGCATGACTTGTCATTTAAATGACAAAAATCACTTCTCTCACAAGCCTGCTTTTCCTTCAGGAAAAACAGATTAAAACCAGGGCTGAGGGTGTTTTGGTGAGTGGTTTAATGTCCAATATGTTGCATGATGCTAGATGTAAAAGTAAATGCATTGGAAAAGAGAATTTCCTAACTTTTTAAGGTCACCTCTTTTCCGAAAGACCCAAGGCTTCAACACACCCTTTTTGTATAAAGAAAATACTTCAAAGACCTCTTTATGACCTCTTGCATGAGGTTCAGGGTAGCTAAGGGACTGTGGCCTGTGTGAAGCTAGGAAGATTTCATGGTTACTTAAGCAGTTCATGACTGTCTCAGTTGTGAGCAGTATTCTCAGAGCATTGTAAGACTCTTGGTTGGAGGGGACATCCAGAGGCTGACTAGATCTAACCTGGCCCTAAAATGGTTCTTTAGTACCCACACTAAGTCTGGTCAGCTGTGCCTTGGAAATCTCCAAGGGTGGGAAATCCACCTTCTTCCTGGGTAACCCGCATCAATGCTGCCCTCTTAAATGATGCAGCATCATGTTACTGTTTTATACCTCTTACAGATTTATTCTAGCTGTAAGTGTACTATGAAGTCGCTGCTTGTGCCTCGTCAGAGGAATACCACAGCAAAAATAGGAGTACAGCTTCTTGGCTGTGCATGAATAATACAGTGTCCTCTGCAAAGTTACAGGATTTAATTCTTCAGGCATGCACATAATGAGAAGTCTGAGAATTTCTAAGTGAATTAGACCCAAACCAGTTTAAAAGTGGAGCCACTGAGGATTGTATGCAAGATAGATATACTTTTGTTGCCCTAAATTATCCTGCTTGCTAAGTAAAAATAAGCTATCAACTTTTAGATTCGTTCTATGGGCAGTATTTTCATGAATTTTCTATGGGCAGTATTTTCATGAATTTTGTAGCACTAAGTGTGCTGTAATTTGGAAGAAAACATTTGAGTTATACAGAAACCAACAAAAATAATACTGTCTTCTTCAGTGTGTGTCTCTCCAGTTCTCTGATGTCTAAAGTCAGAGCACTCTTGAGAAAACATTTAATAAAACAGACCTTTTACAAAATGGCAACACTCTTAGTTGAAGTGATGGCCCAAAGTCATCTTCCTTTAAGCCTGGTTTCCATTTGTGGACATTTCTTTGGTGTAAATTCAGAAGCGTAGCTGCTGTTTAGGTAGATAGAGGCATTTACTTCTAATCTCATGAGTGTTTCAGCTGAATTATGAGATTGAAGGCGTTCGGTGCTTACCCAACATCACTACAGTTTTGTTAATTAATGCTGTTTGCAACAGATACAGCTGTATGTCAAGGTGGAAATGCAGGCTTGTTCAAAATGAATTCTAGGTATACTTTTATTTTAATCAAAACTTCCATAAAATGCGATCAGAATTTACATAATAGTTCAGAACTGAAAATAGTGTTAGGAAAACCTTGATAATGGTTTATCCTTTCAAATTTTTTCTGATGTAATATCTTGCTTCTGTCTTCCAGGACCTGCGCAAACAGGTAGCTCCATTGCTGAAGAGTTTCCAGGGAGAGGTAAGAGCTTATGCTTCTCATGGTGCTTTCGATATTGCTTCACACAAGCCTGGTGTGCTGGCAGCCTTTCAGCATGGCCGGGTGGGTACAGAGCCCTTGAGCAGAGAGCATCGCAGGGGTTCAGCCCTTCTGCATTTTGCTGTGTGTGATACACTGGATTTGTGCTGGACAAGCTAAACTGGTCAAATCACTTTGCATTCAGCATACCTGAGCATAAGCTTACCGTTGCAGTGACTCAGGTGGCACACGAGAACTCGCTGTGCCTCAGTGACTTCATGGTTAGAACGCTTAATGAATGCAATGTAATGGACGTATACAAAGGATGAAGATACTACAAATAGTTTTCAGTGTAAACCTTTTCAGCTGTAAAACATTGTGTTGTATCTACAGGGCTTGATGGAAAACCTTAAGTTGGCAGGTGTTTGTTGGAAAAACAACAGAAAGCATTAACAGCTCTGGTGCTGGCTCTTACTTTGATTTCTCTTCACGCCACTCCACTAAGAAACACATGATTAGAATGATCACAAGTTTAAAAGCCAACTGTTGTTATTTTGAAGAATTTCTACAGGCAAAAGCAGCTGGGCCAATTACAGAATTTTACATTTTAGCTGTGGACAGCACTGAAGCGCTCGCTTCACGTGAGTGCTTAGGCCAGATGGGAGCTGTTGTACTGCCTCTAAGAAAATGTCGTGTATGAAGATTGCAAATTATATTTCTTCTTATAAAGATTAGTGCCTGTGTGGGGGGGTGGATTTAGGTTTTAGCTCACTCTCTGTTACACATTGTGGAGTTCTGCTCTTAATGTTAGCTGTGTTAAAGCAGCAACACTTTTTACTTTCTTAATCTGTTGGCTGATTTTATACTGTTGCAGTTCCCATCAGAGCACAGAGAAATTCAGGAGCACGTTTTCAGAAGTCTGCATAGGGAATTAAGCGCACAACTCCCAATATCTGTAATGAGGGCTGCATTTCTGATTACTTGTACATCCTGCTAAAGATGTATCTCAAATAGGCAATAATTCCTCATCCTAAAAGCAGTATGATATTTTTTATTTTACAACCCATTTTCCCAAGTATTGCTAGAAATAAATAAATAAACAGGACAACTTTGTCCTTGATATATCTAATAGTAGTTTGTGAGAACAAAGAATGACTTGTGTGAGTCCGTTTGCCAATGGAAATTTACACTTTAAAATTGCTCCGAGTGGATTGCAGTGCTCTTAAAACCTTTTCACTTTAGTTTCAAGCTTGCAATGCACTGACTGAAAAGTGTATGTGTGCTTTCAGCACTGTTCTTTAATGAAGGGAATGTCTGAGGATCAAGTAAGAATCATAAATCCAAATCTGGCTACAGCTGAAGGAAGATTCTCCCATTAGATCTTGCCTGTTGGAGACAGCCACTGTTACCTTGGTATGGCTCATGCACACTCCTCTGCTGTAGTTTTGCTTCACTAATGTAAAATTGAAGTTTATGTTGATATAAATTCAACATCACAAATTACAAGAGTAAAATTTGTTGGTAGAAATCCCCTCTTACATAAATGAAGCACGAATACGTTACAGGATTGTGCTGCTGAATCTCTGAGCTGGTGATTCCAGTCTCCCTAATCTAGACAGGGTTTTAGAAACCTGAAAAACCTGAACTAATCATGATTGACTAAATAAATGCGGAACATACAACTGTGAATTGTGGTATTTGATTATAGATGTAATTACTGTATCTTGTTTTGGAGACAAATCAAAATACTGAGAATATTAGTCTGTTCTGTTGAGTTATATTTTATTGTTCAATATATAGATTTGGTCTCTGTTTATTGTTAAGGTTGACTTTCTGAAAGATTGTAAGATGAACACTTCAGGTATCTCACGAACAAATTGTGTTAAGCACAGGCTTTTCTCCATTTCAAATCTAATGGAGATGCCTTGACTTACTCACCCCAGAGATGGCTCAGCAAGGAGTATTGCTGGGGGCAGGACACCCACCCCGCGAGTTTGTAGGATTGCTTTTCAGAAGCGTGGAGGTTACCTGCTAGGTGATACTTAATGTCCTGGGAGGGTGGCAAAGGGACCTTTTGGTCACCCAGCACAGGTACTTATATGAGCAGGGAGGAGGAATGGGGAGTGAACTGCTCATAAGTGGTTCCCTGCTTCTACTACATAGACTTCAGCCCCATACTAGGATTTTGTTTCTTTAAAAACCCAACAAGAGTAAGTAAATAAAACAGAGGTAAGCAGAGAAGCAGTGAAAATAGATGTTTTCTGGAGTCCCTTCTGCTGGAGAGTGAGCATCCTGGAGCAGCAGGTATGGATGCTGTGGGAGTGCTCTGGCTCACACTCTGTAGGTATTGTGGATGGTATGACCGAACTCGGGAGCACCACCTTCTTCTCACCAGTTGCTCATACGGAAGCTGGGAAGGAAGGTTCTTGCATGATGCAGCTTCCCTGTTTACCATGCAGGAAAGCCTCCACCACGTTTTTGGCTGTGACTGCAATCACCCCATCCTTTTCTTGATCTCTAATGACAGAACTAAGTAGGTGCTTTTGGCATGTCTCAGTGATACTAAGTTATGATGCCACCTCAGAGGGGAAGCAGGCTTTTGCAAATCCCATGTGGGATGACTGTTCCACAGGGCTCTGGGCACGAGGGAGGGACAGAAGATAGGAGGGACAGGCAGCTCCCTTATGGGCAAAGGTAGTTAAGTAGCTTTACACAGATATTGTGATGTTTCTGCCTAGCTAAGGACGGGCTCCCCACCTCCTGCAGTGCCTCAGCTCTCATGCTAGTGTGGTCCCAAAGTGAGCACAAAGTTTTTCTTTTTTCCCCCCTTTTTGCTGGCTTAGTTTTCTGCCAGGTTGGTTCACTGAAGCAGCTCTCTGCAGGCGCCTGCTGGGCCAGGGAGAGGCCAGGAGAGCACAGCCCAGGGCAGGAGGAGTGCACATGTGCCAGCTTAGGTTGACTTAAACTGTCCTTGAACTGTACCCTCGGTGAGCCTGACGTGACTTGGAGAGAGGTTAACTTAAGCTCACATATTTAAATATCCTCCCAAGCATGCTTTATGGGACATCTGCTTGTAAACCTGAACCTGTGGCTAGTTGACTTTTTAAAATACATCCACAGGTCACTTCAGCCAATTTTTCTTTTCAGTTTGAGCATGGGTATTGATACTTATTTCCTCACCCCCTTTTCCCTTTGTATAATACAAATATATAAATAAACAACCCCTGACCAGAACATGCTGTATTCTGTAGATATTTATCTCATTCATTCAGATCAAAACTGTTTCATTACTGGTTGGAAATAACTTTTTTTGTATAGATCTCGGTGCTTTAAGTAACTGGATTTTTTATGATGACAATTAAAGTAAAAGCATTATGAAATGAAATTTAGAATACTACAGACTTTAAAATGCATTCCTACTTCAATGTGAGACCCTATTAATTCATCACTGTAATACAATTTTATTATAGTACTTTTTCCTTGTTCAGGATTTTAATGGAAATTTGCATGCAGCTTTTTTTAAAAAACTAACAGACTGTTGTGTCTGATTCAAAGCTGATGGTATTGTTCTTTTGATGTTTGTGGGTAACTTTCCTAGCTTTCCTGGAAGATTTAAGGTCTGAACGGTGTAAATAGGCTATTGTGAGCAAGACAGAAGTCATTAATTTAAGAGGTGTAGAATTCCTGTCTTTCTATCTTAAATTTTTTTTTTTTTAACCATTAACCTGAGGATGCAACTTATTAATGGTTTGCTTACCATATGCTGGGCTAAATACAGAACAGAATCAGAAAACACTGAAGAGCTTTATTATTCAATCATAAAATATGTAATTTGCAAGCTGGCAAGGCACTCCTTCAAGCAACCATCTAAATAAGCTGTGTTGTGAGTAGGTCACTGTGCATTCCCATGTTTACATCAGTGGATGTATATTTGTACATGAAATCTTAAAAAAGAAAAAAAAGGTTACGTTCTTGGGCCATGTTAATTTACAGAACTAAAGTTGTGGCATGGAAATCTAATGTTGGAATCCGTATTTGTGAAGTCATCAAATAGATATTTTAAGGCTGGGAAAGGATTTCCTGAGGTCATTAGCATTCTTTTCATGTGGCATAACAGTACTGTCCAACAGTAATGCAGTAATCCCTCATTTGGAGAACCCTTTAAGGCACATACTCCAAAACAACGCACTGGACTTTATTTCTGTGAAAACCAGTTCTCATATTCTTCTCACAAAGCAAGTACTTCTAAGGGTATTGCCATTCTGATGAGACCACTCTGGCTCCCCACTTCGCTGAATTGCTCTTTAAACTATTAATTTGGTCAGTAGAGTAATTTAATAATTTTCCATATGCAGACAACAGAAGCTGAAAATCAGTTTGGTGTGCTGGAACTACTAATCATGCCTTTGAAGGAGTACTCTAATAATATGTGTGCCTAAACAACTTCAGACCTACTTTACTTCTACATTTTGAAGGAGTATTCCTGAGCTGATATTCTTTTTTTTTTTTTTTTTTTTTTACCCCCTCCCTTTAATTTCCTCATGTTAAATTTACAAACCTAATTAATACAATTTCTTTCCTGTAGGTTCACTTCATGATGGCTCAATTAGAGTAGCAGTAGAACTGTGGTTCAATATTCAGGCCAGCTTCATAATTGAGAACACATTTTCTTCTCAAAAGCTGCAGCTGGTTTGGTTCTGCTCATGCAGAAAAGGATATAACCTTGCATAACATAGGAAATGAACGGTTGAGAGAGAAGCCAAATTCAATTTCAGTCAGATATTTTGAGGATAAGTCCATGATCTATGGAAGCAAGGGAATGAAAAGTGTGTGTATGTGGAAAGCAGCGTATTCAGCACTCTATTAATCACGGCTAGCCTGGGTGCTGTTGTGTGCTGTTGCGTTAGCACAGATTCTAGTACAGAGGCTGGAGAGCAGCCAAGCACTCCAGAAGTTAACCTCTTAAAGACCCTGAGCTGCTTTCTGTTGAATAAATGTAATTT